TTGAATCTGGTATAAATCTTTCGGACAATGTAATTGGAAGTATCATTGACATGGTACTACTTCCTCGATCTAATTGACGCTTTTTATATGCCAAGGCCTTTGTAATATTGATGCGGGATGCTCACCATTGTGGTTATAATCACCCACTTCCCATAATTTTATGTTATACTCTGAATTTGTTATCTCACTCTGTTACTTTATGCACATCTTGAAGATGTAAGCAACCCTGTTGGTACCATTTTGGTAAATAACATGGACTACCTTTGAGGCATATGAACATGTATAATCATGTTGATATAGGAGGGATACACAAACAAATCTTTGTCGATTAGTTTTGTTTTAGTTTTATATTTTTATTTTTTCAGAAAATGTAGAGATGGGAAGATATGATTTGCAAGGGGGGGATTTTTTTTTCTTTTTTTCTTTTTTTTTGTAATTTCACGGTTGAAAGACAAAATAGAAGCTCATTGAGGGAATATTGGATCTCTATTTATTAGATGATATTACAGAGTCATAATCTATCCTACTGTTTGCCTACCATTTGGCTCTTGTTGCCTATAGATGCAAAACCCACAAGGAAATTGAGGAAGAAACCCTGTTTTCCATTTTTTTAGAAATGGAGACAGTTTTTGAGGTCTTGACAAGGATGTATCAGTTGTGTGAAATAGTGAAAGCCTGTGTGTTCACCATGAGAGTGCTGGATAACATATTTTGGATTGTTACTTTCAGTAAAACCGAAGTTTATCTTAAACATCAAGGAAGCACAAATATGGAATACAGGGTACAAATATGATATGATAATTTGTCAAAATCTATATATATATAATAAACTAAGATATAGCTATAGCAGGGTACAATAGTAACAAAATATATTTGAAAGACTACTTATTTTTTCACTCAACAGATACGTAACTTGTAATTCCTCATGGTTTTTGGTAATTTAATCATGATTTGGTGAAATGAAGCCTGAGTAATTGATGCAAGACGAATAGGGACAGTGTTGTAAGGACTGTTCTGCAGTTGTAAAGTGCTGAAATGTAAGGAAAAAAAAGAAAGAAAAAGAAGAAAATAGATTTAGGAATCACTCCTACAATCCCTTAGGCATCACACAACCCATAAAGAAGCTTTAAAGCTCTCAACTTTTTATAAAATATTAACTCAATTGAATGATAAGCATTACATGACTTTATATAGAATTAAGGGACTTCCTAAATCAACTATAACCAAAAAAAAAAAAACTATTATAATATCTTTGACTTTTAAAACTAATTTAAAACTAAATAAGAAACATAAAAAAAACCCAATTAAATAACTTGACCCACAAGACGACCCATGGGCGACCCCTACAGTCCATGACAACAATAATGAAATTACCAAAATACCCTTGACCTAAAAATCCTACAAAACATAAAAATAATTCTAAAATAATACTCTAATAATACTAGAAACATAATTATATAAAATTCCTCTCAGTTTCTCTATGAAATCATGCCAATGTCCAAATATCATTGCTTCTTTGAATTTAGCCTTCCTTGAACTTCTTATACTTTGCACCATTCTCCCTTGGTTGGAAAAAACTCAACCTCGAGTTTTGAAGTGCTGGTGTATAAGAATCCACAAGCTTTGAAATTGCATCCATGGCGTTACATTAAAATATTCAAGTTGATGCCGCCTTTTCTTCGTTGGAGATTATGAAAAAAAATAATGAGAGATTGATCTTTTCAATCATATCACTAAATTTTTATAGACTAACAAAGTCAATTAGCATAGAAATCAAATTTGAATTCATCCAAATCAATTTTCATAAGGCTTTCTTCGATATTCTCAACTTCGATCCTTCTGTTTTTAGCCTCTTTTCCTAGCACAAGGTCATCTTTTGATTCACCATTGGCTGCTACTTTGATTATGATTGGAACAAATGCAGTAGGGGACTTTGTAGGCACTACATCGGAGATCTCGGGTTGCAATATCATGACCTTTAAAGGCATAATAAGTTTTGGAACAGCAGCAGGATGCATTAATTCTTCACTCCTTATAGCTTGTGTGACATCCGAGTCTTCTATTTGGACCTCATCCTCTTCTCGAGTAACAATTGGAGCTCCTTGGGGTGCTTTTGAATCATCAATAAGATTATTTTTTTCCATTATAATTTGATTGTTTATGACCTTCTGTTGGGCTGCTCGTCTTTCCAAAGAATTAAGCCAAACTTGAAAACTATCTAACTGCTCCACAATTTTAAAAAGAATTTGATCTCTTTGGTTTTCAGAAAATATTCCCTTTCTGAGAGATCTTCTAAGATGCATAGACATGTTTTTGAACTTCCACAAAACAATAGGATCTTTCGCTTTGATACCAAACTAATGCATGACGAATAGGGACAGCAGCAAATCTAGGCTTTGGGGCTGATTTTAATTGGATTTTATGGTGGCTGCAATTGCAATAAGAATATAGGGGACAAGTAGGGTTTGTTTAATATATAGGTAAGAGTTTAAGCATGAAAAGATGTGATTTTAGCACTGTTTAGGGGCTGTTATAAGAATGTGAACAGTAACTCGTGAATAGTAAACTAAAACAGAAAAGACGAAGGAAGAAGAGAAGAAAATAAATCTAGGACTCACTCCTAAAATCCCTTAAGCATCACACCTACGTTTAATTGCATCACACAATCCATGAAGAAACTTCAAAGCTCTTAGCTTTTATAAAATATCAACTTTATTAAATTATAAGCATTACATGGCTTTGTATAGAATTAGGGGACTTCCTAAATCAACTATAACCAGGAAAAAATGAAACTATTATAATATATCTGACTTCTAAAACTAATTGAAGACTAAATAACAAATATAAATAAAACCCAATTAAATAACTTGACTCACAAGATGACCCATGGGTGATCCCTACAGTCCATGACAACAATAATGAAATTACCAAAATACCCTTGACCTAAAAATCTTACAAAACATAAAAATAATCTTAAAATAATACTCTAATAATACTAGAAACATAATTATATAACATTCCTATCAATTTTTTATGAAATCATGCCAATGTCCAAATATTATTGCTTCTTTGAATTTAGTCTTTCATGAACTTCTTATACTCTGCATCAATAATGAAGTTGTTCATTAGCTTTGCCTTTCTATTGAGTCTGTTGAGCACAAGCTGACATTCTTTGCATTTTTTTTTCTTTCAACTTTGAAAAAATGCCTAGCCTAACACCACACAAAATGCACAACTGTTTGCTGCTTTGAAAAGCATAGATATGGACAAGGGACACAGATAGGATGACAGAGACACGTCAATATGGAAAATTTGAAAGAAAAAAAATTAAGGCACAAAGATGTTTTGAATACGTCACAAATAATTATATCTTGATATATAGTATATTACTTAGATATAATCTTGATAAATAGTAAATTTTGTATCTACTTCTTTTACGTGAATTTTTAGAATATTGGACCATAATGGTTAAAAATAAGACAAACTATAACAAGCATATGTGATTGCGACATTTGCTTCATCCTCGTTAGCCATTTGCTATTACATTTAGATATTTTTTTCATTTTCATTTAATTTTATGCGAAACTTCTATGGGATTATTCTTAATAATTATACAGTTTTTAAGGATATCAAATTCTTAAACTTTGAAATTCATAGTTTGTTTGCCTTCCAATGTTGCATAATATTCCCCCTACTTGTTTTTTTTTAATAAAAATAAAAGGTTTGACAATATGTTTTTGCAGGGACATTATGAAGAGTTGACCTTATACTATAGTAAATATTTTGTTCAAAGCCATTCTCAAAGAAATTCTTGAGAAGTTTAATCTTGAGCTAGCAATTCACTCAATTGAGAACATTGGACGTAATCATAAACCTGCTTTCATAGCTAGTGCTGACAAGAAAAAGAAGTTTTATGGAAAGGAAAATTCAACGAAACAAGGAACCGAGAAAGAAGTAGCTATGATGGTGATCAAGCATCTTAACGATCAAAGTGAATTGGTAAATGTCAAAGCAGACCATGAAAGACTATGTGAAGATTATGATAAACTTTCGACAGTGAAGAAGCAGCTAAAGAATGCAATTACTCAAAGTGAAAAATCAACTGGTAAGAATACGAAATAGACTGCTAAATTGCTGATATCTTTTGCACAGCTTTTAGAGCATTGGCTTTTAATCAGGGAATACTTCTCACTCCTCTCTGCAAAATATAATATATTTCTTCCTTTTAAGACTGAATATATATTATTGTCTTTCTAGGATCAAGTGTCAATTCCAATATGTTGATATTTGTTAAATGTAAGTAAGGAATGTTTTCAATAGAGATAACATTTTTTGTTTTTGAATAATGTAGAAAATGTTGACTGCTTATTCTTCTCACAATTCTTTTAATTCTACTTGCCTGTATCAATATATTTTTATTACGCCATGGCAAATTGCACAGATGCTTTGCACAAGCCAAATGAGTTACATAGCTGATAGATTGTAATCTTAAAACACACCACACTTCCATTAAAACAAAACACAAAGAAACAAAAAAAATTGCTTATATTTCCAGCATCTTCTAACATGAATGAGAAGAATATTCAAAACCCAAGTAGCATAACTTTGGCTGTTTCCCCTACATCAGTTCATGAAGTCAAAAGGGTTAAATAACTAACTCTAAATGCCATGTCTAGTAGTATGTAATTCTATGGGGGGGGAAAATTCCATATTTTATTACATGTTTTTGTAGACAAATTTTTGGGACTCGTATGTAAAAAGCTTAATGCTTTATGTTCCTCAATAATCAGGGTAGTAAATTTTTTGGTGTTGCATAGCATTTTGATTTAATTTTTTTAAACATGTAACTTAGTTTAATTTGAGTTTGTATTGTAATCCCTATGGATTTGTGTTAGATTACATAGTTGGGAAGTACTTGTTGATGGTTCTTTAGTACAAATTTTGTTGTTATGTTTTTTCATAGAGACAACTAACTCGAATTACAAATTTACAGATTGTGTTAGATTACATAGTTGGGAAGTACTTGTTGATGGTTCTTTAGTACAAATTTTGTTGTTATGTTTTGTCATAGAGACAACTAACATCGAATTACAAATTTACCGATATGCTTTTTGAAGACTTGAATATTGATTTGTCAAGGACCATTGTATCTGTCAGCTCATTCTTTTCTAACGATGAAATACGTATTGTCAACAACACCAATTCATACGAAGCAACCATGAACTGTGATATGTCAACGTTTTGTCATCTTCTTCCAAATAATGATAATGTTCATTATTGGTGTAAGTTTGCATCGGAGCACAAAAGCTCCCATTTGCTTAGAATATTGGGGAAGGCCTATGTAGGGGATGATCAAATAATACTATTTTTTCAACCCGTGGACCAAAACTTTGAAGATTTGACGCAACACAATCTTCTCATCAATCTCGACAATCATTTGACACCTTCTTTTACGGCCCTTTTATTGTGAGTGCATCTCTCTTTGTTTGTCTCTATTATTGCTTTTGCAATATGTTTATTAATTTCCTCTTTGTTTTCTATATTGTAGGGATATGTTGAAGGGGATAAATTACTTTCATAGTGTACTAAAGCATGCACATGGCAAAATATGCGGAGAAAACATTTATGTCATTGATGGGAGGGCAAAATTTGCTAATGTGGTGGATATTAATTTTAAAAAATCTTATGTTGATGATATCAATAGCTTTTGCAAAATGGTAGAATCACCATTCAAGGCCAAAAACATCCCGCCTCCATTGGAGTTAGTATCTTCTTTCAAGCTTGAAAAAACCAAATGGGTGAGTTGCATGATTATGTCAATACTATCTATTCGTATTACTATGATTGAATTTTAATATGTGGTTACTTCTTTTGTCCACAAGTTGTGTAATTCTATTAACCACCTTGTTCTGTTGAATTCATATGGCGAAGCCATGTACAGGCATATGGCACTTATGGAAACCCGTCATATGAAAAATTATGGAAACTTCAACCAAGCGATGATTGCAGCATATCCTAAAGAAAAAAAAAAAGCAAAATAGAAATCTGAAGTTTTCTTGGATTCAAAAAGTTACAGATGGAAAGGAATCTTATTCGTGATTGTTGTATTATGACTCTAGCCAACAGGATTGACAAGGCCAACAAATTAAATACAACAATTTGCCCATAAAGTTTTTACGATTTAGTAGAAACATTCAACATGTAGACTTAAGAATATCAATTCGTTACCAATTTTGTTTGGGTATTTTTTTGATATTTTTGATATTCTTAAGTCTACGTGTTGAACGTTTCTACTAAATCGTAAAAACTCTTTTGGCGAATTATTGTATTTAATTTGTTGGCCTTGTCAATCCTGTTGGCTAGAGTCATAATACAACAATCACGAATAAGATTCCTTTCCATCTGTAACTTTTTGAATCCAAGAAAACTTCAGATTTCTATTTTGCTTTTTTTTTTTCTTTAGGATATGCTGCAATCATCGCTTGGTTGAAGTTTCCATAATTTTTCATATGACGGGTTTCCATAAGTGCCATATGCCTGTACATGGCTTCGCCATATGAATTCAACAGAACAAGGTGGTTAATAGAATTACACAACTTGTGGACAAAAGAAGTAACCACATATTAAAATTCAATCATAGTAATACGAATAGATAGTATCGACATAATCATGCAACTCACCCATTTGGTTTTTTCAAGCTTGAAAGAAGATACTAACTCCAATGGAGGCGGGATGTTTTTGGCCTTGAATGGTGATTCTACCATTTTGCAAAAGCTATTGATATCATCATCATAAGATTTTTTTAAATTAATATCCACCACATTAGCAAATTTTGCCCTCCCATCAATGACATAAATGTTTTTTCCGCATATTTTGCCATGTGCATGCTTTAGTATGCTATGAAAGTAATTTATCCCCTTCAACATATCCCTACAATATAGAAAACAAAGAGGAAATTAATAAACATATTGCAAAAGCAATAATAGAGACAAACAAAGAGAGATGCACTCACAATAAAAGGGCCGTAAAAGAAGGTGTCAAATGATTGTCGAGGTTGCTGAGAAGATTGTGTTGCGTCAAATCTTCAAAGTTTTGGTCCATGGGTTGAAAAAATAGTATTATTTGATCATCCCCTACATAGGCCTTCCGCAATATTCTAAGCAAATGGGAGCTTTTGTGCTCCGATGCAAACTTACACCAATAATGAACATTATCATTATTTGGAAGAAGATGACAAAACGTTGGTGTTGTTGACAATACATATTTTACCGTTAGAAATGAATGAACTGACAGATGCAATGGTCCTTGGCAAATCAGTATTCAAGTCTTCAGAAAGCATATCTGTAAATTTGTAATTCGAGTTAGTTGTCTCTATGAAAAAACATAACAACAAAATTTGTACTAAAGAACCATCAACAAGTACTTCCCAACTATGTAATCTAACACAAATCCATAGGGATTACAATACAAACTCAAATTAAACTAAATTACATGTTTAAAAAAATTAAATCAAAATGCTATGCAACACCAAAAAATTTACTACCCTGCTTCGAGTCCCAAAAATTTGTCTACAAAAACATGTAATAAAATATGGAATTCCACCCCCCCAATAGAATTACATACTCCTAGACATGGCATTCAGAGTTAGTTATTTAACCCTTTTGACTTCATGAACTGATGTAGGGGAAACAGCCAAAGTTATGCTACTTGGGTTTTGAATATTCTTCTCATTCATGTTAGAAGACGCTGGAAATATAAGCACTTTTTTTTGTTTTCTTTGTGTTTTGTTTTAATCGATGTGTGGTGTGTTTTAAGATTACAATCTATCAGCTATGTCTAACTCATTTGGCTTGTGCGAAGCATCTGTGCAATTCACCATGGCTTAATAAAAATATATTGATACAGGCAAGTTGGTTGGTCAGACCTAGATGAGAGAAATGGCTCAAGAAAGAGAAGTTGTTTCGGTTTATGGAGAAATTAAGAAAAAGCAGGAGAGAGAAAATAAGAAAGAGATGCAGAGAAGAGGACAAAGAACAATGTCAGTCACCATTTGAACTGACGCAGTTGTATGGTTACCAACAGCAGCAAAATCTCGACCGCTATTCATGACCTAATTTGGTTTCCTCTTTCAGAAAGGTGAAACCTCGAATTTGGATCATCATCATGGTTATTATAAAAACATATGTTGAATATGGAGAAAAATCTACCTCCCAACAATGGTCTCTTCTCTCCAGTTCTTGATCCATTCTTTGTCAACCCTCAACTCAGATGTTTATTAATGGCCGAAGGGTGAAGGATATTTATGATGTAGAAAACACTAAACAAACTAATAAATCTTACAAACTTTTCTTACTAATTTATGAGAAATTTGATAGTTTATATAACATTGCCTTTTCAGAGCATATATTATCTCTCTCACTTTTCCTCCTTTTCTCTCCTCTCTTTAGATATTCTCTCATTTTCGTACAACCAAACACCCTCCTATAGCTCCAATCTTGCACCACCACTTCCACCCATTGTCACCACCAAAACATCCGGCCACTGCTTGCTTGCCTTAAAAAACCCAGCCAGCCACATTTTCCATCTCCACAAAAATATCCAATAATCATATTCAAAACTCTAGACTTTCCTAATCTCTTGAAGAACCAAGGTTTGGGGCTTTTTGTTTCAGGATAGATTAGAAGCTCTTAATTGGCAAGAATCTCTCTAGAAAGTTCTAGTAGAGTGGCTTGCATGTTTTAAGTTACAGAGCATTTTTTGTTTAGATCCATCATGTTTAAGCTTTCTTTGTTGAGTTATATGCTTCCTATTAGTTCCTATGGATGTTATTGCATATGGTGAAATCATTGATTTGATGGTTGATTTGAGGATTGAAGTTTGGGTAAATCTAGGCACTGAATGTGAACTAAATTTGGGAATTCTAGTGCTAGGGAATTTATATGTTGGAATTGACATGATAAATGATATATTGGGTATAACTGTTATAAATGATTTTTCAGAAATTTTAGAAATTTTTGTGGTGGTGTTGTGATTCTATAAACATTATGGCTTTTGCGTTCTTATAGTATAACAGGTGATATTATACTAATGGTTCAATGGTAAAACCTTAGCCTAATAAGTTATGAGTTCGAGTCCCGGGCCAACCACTTTGTACACTATGCCAAAGGTTAGGTGTGTACCCAATCTTTCCTCTCCCAAATACACATTAATATATACTAACTGGATGGTGTTTTTTTTTTTTAATAGTATAATAGGTGATATTTTTATGTGCATGTCTTCAATGGATACCCTAGTAGTTCATAATTTGAAATTTATTGACGTAAAGTAACGAAATTTGAACAAATTTGAATGTTCCAAACAGGTGGGTATGGTGAGTTTAGTTCTGAATAGTTTGAATTTGTTGATTTATTTATTTGCTTTCTTTGTCTATTCTTGAGTCAGTTTGAATCTGCACAAATGTCAACCATGATTCCTTAGAGGAATTTGAGAAAACAATTGAGAACCCAAAAGCTTGCATTGATAAGATGCGATATACTACTCCCAGCCTTTCCGATACCAAGGTTTGGCAACACACTAGGTCACACTTTTATGAAATGGAAGGATAGAATTTATAAGGTTGTTAGGTCCATTAATGTGGTGTAAGAAATTATGTATTATTGATTGATTGATATCTTACAAGATTGATGTATTGATGTTATTACAAGATTGTTCATATTCTGTATATTACAATTCCTATATATAGAGGAGAAGATGGTAGTGGAGTGTGTGATAGTGGAGGTGGATGGTAGTGGAGTGTGTGATAGTGGAGGTGGTAGGTGTGGAGAAAGATAGTGGAGGTAGTAGGTGAGTGGTAAATTCTGGTAAATTCTAACATGTGGTGTCCAAGTCAGCTGTCGCTAGATTCAAACTCAGCTAGAACCTCATCCTCAGTCATATAAGGTTGCATGGAATGATAAGATATCTTTTCCCATTTCCAAGTGTTTCTAATGCCCATTAAATAAGTAATTATTCAGGCAAAATTATCTACGACGTCTTACCCATGGATGTAGCCCATGTGCTTCTTGGCTGTCCTTTAATTTTTGTAGATGCCCAACACTTAGGTAGGAAGAATCCATATGTTTTTAAGCATAGTGACCAGAAAATAATGATGACACTAGCTAAGCCTATTGCAAGAGTTAAAGGACCTAAATGCAACTCTCAACTCAAGAACTCACTAAATGTGAAGCTTCCTCTGAAAAGAAAACTGTGGGGGGTTAAAATTAGCATAGAATTACATGGGTCCTAGAACAGACACGTGACACAATCATGGCCTACAGCGAACAAGGCGATAGTCAAATCCAAATCAAACAATATGTCTGATACCAAATTGTGATGTCCTAAACTTTGGAACATCATGGGATATCAAGGAAGTAATAAAGTATATAAAACACTAAGTTTAGGACTTTACCATTGAAAATTTAATATTTATAGAATGCAAACCAAGTCCCAAAGTATCACCAAATACAAAAATAAAAACCATCTAGTTACATATCCAATCTAAGATCAAAACAAAATATGGCTCCAGGTATTTGTAACTACAAAAGGTAGGTAAAGCTGCTGCTACACTTGCTCAAGGCAACAAGGGTTTCAATCTGTCATCCGTAATAGGGTTCGGTATTGTACATGGAGTAAAACTCATCAACAGGTGAGATCTTATCGTTATAGAAGTCCCAAACAACTAGAAGTTGTGTTGGGAAAGACTTGCAGAGCAATCATATTCCTATCAGAGTTGGATACTTGTTAGGCAAGCAATCTTCTACTATAAACAAAGGTGAACCCTAAGGGTCCAGGTATGCAAATACGCAAGTGAATATACAGTCACAAAAAATTACTGTTATATTCAAGATGGTAGTGCTAACTTAGGCATCAGAGTGCCCATCCAACATAAGCCGGATAGGGCACTAACGACATAGTATTTTAAAGATTCTTAGTGCACTGTTCATCTTTTTGTTGATTCATTCATCAGGGTACAATTTTTTCCCTTACAATTGGCACGTAGGAATCGAAGGTTCAACAGAGAAGAAGACGTACATCATTATCAGAAGTGTTCTCAGGGTGATCATAGGCACTATAATTGGTTGCTAAAAGAAGCTATTTTGGTCATCAAAAGGGCATAATTTTGGAAGGAAATAATTTCTACACAAAAACATCATGCATGTATTTTACTAGACATCAGAGAGGAAATGTGTTCATAGTCTATTTTGTCATACCATTCAATTTCATAAACAAGAGCAATGCCACAAAACAAAAAAATTAACAAATTATGAAAGAGTTGCACAGTCACAATAATGTTCTGAAACTCAAAATGGAATGTAATAACACATGCAGTGACCATTACTAAATGCAATCAACAAAGAACATACCTACAATCCAGAAAGATGCGCACACATGAAACTTCCATCAACCTCAACATTAAGCTGGTTCAAATTAACACGCCTATCCCACAAAAATAAAAATAAAGGCATAAAGCTCATCAAAATGAAGGCTAAAAGAGACAATGAATTCCATATATCTTCTTCAATCAAAACTACTTTAGCTTCATTAAAATTTCCATGCAGCTTCACATGTTGCACGCTCAATTTATAAAGTGCTCGAACATTATGGGAAACCATATTCAAATAATACAAGTTTCACTTGTTTATCTCGAAAAAAGAAGCCAAAATACTAGAGACAAAAAAGATACCAGCACTTGACGGGCCAAAAGCACTCAATGTAGCTATAACTTTCATCTGGATAATTCTGACCTAGCCGTGAAAGGCTTATGTAACGAACAACCAATCCAAAATTGCTACATAAACAAAAAAAATGGGATCTATAATAAGTTTTTTTTTCCCGCTCCCAATTGCCTCCTTTCTCTCATTTTTTTCTCCCTTTCCTCTGATCCAATAAAAAAAAAAAACACATCTTCCATTCCAACAAAAACTCAAAACAAACTCTTCCACTGATGTATACCACCATCGAATAAAAATAAAAAATAAAAAAATAAACTCAACGACACCACCAGACAATATTCACACAACACAAAAAAAAGAAGCAAAATGAAGGGGGAATTCAAAGTGAAAAACAAAGAGAGACGAGGGAGTGAAATCCAACCCAGGAGTCTTGTGCAACTTTCAACACAAAAAAGTCAATACAAATCTAATCTCATCCAAAAATAAAATCAAATATGCAATTTTAAATTTGATCATAAAACCTATGCTTTGTGAGCAATCATCGTAGGTTTCATCTTGTCACCGCTAATTTTTCTATCATCATTGTCCATCACCCATTGATGGTGATGAACAATGATGATGGAAAAATTAATGACGACGAGATGAAATCTATGATGATTGCCTAGCATGAATATTGTCATCACTGCTATTGTATCGCTTGGGGTTTACCTAGGGGCATCAAAAGAGACATTTGTGGGGGTTGGGAGGTCGAAGGAATGGAGACTGTGCTTTGTATGATAAAATAAAATGCTATCTATGTTTCTTGATGAACTGAAGACCCAGACATCGAAGTAGAATGAACTTTAGAGAGTGAAAGTATAACATTATCTCCACATTTTTTGCTTATGTGGCAGATTTAGGTTGGTTGCCTATTAAATAAGCCTGTCCTGGCTCAGCAGTGTATAATTTAATCTTATACCATAAAAAGGATAGAGTTATATAATTATATTCCTCTCAAGTATCCTTTATTTCACATGCCTGCTAACTTCACAACGAAACATCAACAATCCTGCATCCTTGTCAAAGATTCAAGGAAGAACACGTGTTTTATCATTATATATATATATATATATAGGGCAATTTGTCATTAAAAAATAAAATTTTCAAGAGAAACAATTACTAATGTACTACACAAAAGCATCATTACTAATGTACTACACAAAAGCATCATGTGTGCATTTCCAGACATTAGACAGGAAACATGTTCCAAGACTTTTGTCATACCACTCAATTTGATAAACAAGAGCAATGCCACAATATACGAAAATTAACAAATTACAAAAATGTTGCACACTCATAACAATATTCTGAAATTCAAAGAGGAATATAATAACAAATACTTTAAACATTACTAAATGCAATCAATAGAGAACATACTCATCTGATCTAGAAAGATATGCATCCCTGAAACTTGCATCAGCCACAACTTCATGCTTGTTCAAATAATAATACCTATTCCAATAAAACAAAAAAAGAGCTCAGTGCTCATCAAGATGGAGGCTAAGAGAGAGCGAACAAAGTAAAATGAAAAAGCGGCTAAATGTTTGCATTGACAAGTAAAACTACAACAAAATGAATTTCATACATCTTCAAGCAAAATTACTTTAGGTTCATCAAAATTTCTTACTTGATTCACCTGTTGTAGGCTAGAGTGATGAAGTACTCAAACCTTACAGAAATCAATATTCAACTAATTCAAGCTTCACTGTGTTTATCATGAAAAAGAAAGCCAAAATACGAGAGACAAAAAAGATACCAACACTTACAAGCAAAAAGCACTTAATGTAACCATTAACTTTCATCTGGATAATTTCCTAAATATGATAGAGATATATTCTTTTCAACTACCCTTAACTTTCACATGCCTGCTAACTCCACAACAAAACTTCAAAGATCTAACACCCTTGTCAATGATTCGAAGAAGAATGTGGGCTTATCAATATATATATAGGGCATTTTTGTCATTAGAAAGGAATATTTTGGAGGAAAACAATTTATGCATAAAAGCATCATGTGTTTATTTCCACACATTAGGCAAGAAATGTGTTCGTAGTAGTCTATTTTGTCATACTGCTCAATTTCGAAAACAAGAGCAATGTCACAGTACAAGAATATTAACAAATTATTAAAATGTTGCACGCACTAAAATATTCTTAAATTCAAAATGAAACAAAATAACAAGTACATTAATCACTACTAAATACAATCAACTGGGAACATACTCATCTAATCTAGAAAGATATGCATCCATGAAACTTGCATTAGTCTCATCATAATGCTCGTTCAAATAATCACACCCGTCGCAAAATAAATAAATAAATAAATAAAAATAAAAAAATTCAATGCTCAATGAGATAGAGGCTAAGAGATAGTGAACAAAGTATAATGAAAAGGAGGTCGAATATTTGCAATGACAAGTAAAACCATGATTGTTAGAATAGTATGATTCAAGATTCGATACGAGTTTTAACAAAAATGATTCAAATTGTGTTGTTGAGTCGGAAATTGAGTGTATCGTACGATTCAATTTACGATTCATTGCGATTTACTACGATTCATTACAATTCACTGCGATTCAGTTGTATTTCTATTTTTGTTCACATAATGCATGAAACAACGTCGTTTTCGCCAAACTATGAAGCTATATACAAGAGATTAATTAGTTATATTGATATATGTGATTTTATATGTATACACATAATTTAATTTACATATTGTAATTTAGTTATATAGAATTATATATCATATTAAATAAAATGAATCTTACAATTCACGATTCACTATTTTAACAAAACGATTCATTATTCAATTCGCGATTTGACATCAATGAGTAAAACTACAACGAAATGAATTCCATATATCTTCTTCAAGCAAAACCACTTTAGGTTCATCAAAATTTCTAAGCAGCTAGCGGCACATGTTGTAGGCTTGATTGATAAAGTCCTCAAACCTAATGAGAAACAAGATTCAAATAATTCAAGTTTCACTACGATTATCTTGAAAAATGAGATGAAAATACTAGACAAAAATGATACCAACACATACAGGCTAAAAGCACTTAATCTACCTATTAATTTTTATTTGGATAATTTCATGAATAAGATTAGAGTTAAATTCCTTTCAACTATCGCTAACTTTCACACGCCTGCTAACTCCACAACGAAACGTCAAAGATCTAGTACCCTTGTTAATGTACAAAGAATGTGCGCTTATCAAAATATATAGGGCATTTTTTTCATTAGAAAGGAATATTTTGGTGGCAAATAATTTCTTCATAAAAGCATCATGTGTGTGTTTTCAGATATTAGGCAAGAAACGTGTTCCTAGATTATTTTGTCATATTGCTCAATTTCATAAATAAGAGCAATGCCACCATACAAAATTCTTAACAAATAATGAAAATGTTGCACACTCAACAATATTCTGAAATTCAAAATGGAATGTAATAACAAGTACATTAATCATTTCTAAATGCAATCAAAAGAGAACATAATCATCTGATCTAGAAAAAATTGCTTCCCTGAAACTTGTATCAGCCTCAACTTCATGCTTGTTCAAAAATAATAAGACCTATTCCAAAAACAAAAACAATAAAAAGTCTCTGTGCTCATCAAGATGGAGGCTAAGAGAGAGTGAACAGAGTAAAATGAAAAGGAGGTTGAACGAATGCATTGACAAGTAAAACTACAACAAAATGAATTCATTATATCTTTTTCAAGCAAAATTGCTTTAGGTTCATCAAAATTTCTTAGCAACTTCACATGTTGTAGGATCAATTGATGAAGTACACAAATAATTCAAGTTTCACTGTGTTTATCATGAAAAAGGAGGCCGGAATACTAGAGACAAAAAAGATACCACCACTTACAGGCCAATAGCATTTAATGTAGCCATTAACTTTCATCTGGATAATTTCCCAAATATGATTTATATTGTTTTCAACTAGCCTTAACTTTCACAAGCCTTTTAACTCCACAACAAAACTTCAAAGATCCAGTACCCTTGTCAATGATCCAAACAAGAATTCAGGCTTATCAATATATTAGGGCATTTTGTTATTAGAAATGAATATTTTGGAGAATAACAATTTCTACATAAAAGCGTCATGTGTTTATTTCCACACATTAGGTGGGAAATGTGTTTGTCGTCTATTTTGTCATACTGCTCAATTTAAAAAACAAGAGCAATGCCCTACAATACATGAATATTAACAAATTACGAAAATGTCACACACATTAAATTATTGTGAAATTCAAAATGGAATGTAATAACAAAGACATTAATCAATACTAAATGCAATGAACAGAGAACATACTCATATTATCCAAAAAGAAATGTATCCATGAAACTTGCATTAGTCTCATCATAATGCTCGTTCATGTTGTTAGAATATAATAGAATATTATAAATTTGTGTTATTGAGTTAGAGTGTGATGAGTTAGATTGTGTTTTGTACAAATTAGAGTCCTATTAGAGGCATGATTGTGTTATTGAGTTAGAGTCCTGTTAGAGACATAATTGTATTTGTATTTTCCTTACTAGAGCACAAAAAGAAACCAAAAACAACATGAGATTTTAAGCCAGCAAACCCTTGGGATCTGTCTTTTGAAATACCCCCCTTAAAGATGACCTATTCCAAACTCCAAGCTCAGCACTTGACAATCCCCACGACGACAGGGGAAAATAAAAACACTAAAAATTCTTCATTAGTTGTGCAACATCCAAATGGAATGTAATAGGAAATACAATGACCATACTAAATGCAATCAACAGAGAACATACTCATTTGATCCACAAAGATATGTATCCGTCAAACTTGCATTAGTCTCATCATATGGCTCGTTCAAATAATCACACCTATCCACACAAAAAAAAAAAATTAAAAAACATAAATAATAATAATAATAATAATAATAAATTAATAATATGAAAAAATAAGTGTCAGTTCTCAACAAGATAGAGGCTAAGAGACAGTGAACAAAGTATAATGAAAAGGAGGTCGAATGTTTGCATTGACAAGTAAAAGTACAACGAAATGAATTCCATATATCTTCCTCAAGCAAAACTACTTTAGGTTCATCAAAATTTCTAAGCAACTTCACATGTTGTAGGCTCGATTGATAAAGTACTCAAACCTAATGAAAAACAAGATTCAAAATCTCAAACCTAATGAAAAACAAGATTCAAAATCTCAAACCTAATGAAAAACAAGATTCAAAATCTCAAACCTAATGAAAAACAAGATTCAAAATCTCAAACCTAATGAAAAACAAGATTCAAAATCTCAAACCTAATGAAAAACAAGATTCAAAATCTCAAACCTAATGAAAAACAAGATTCAAATAATTCAATTTCACAGTGTTTATCCTGAAAACAAGGTCAAAATACTAGACATAAATGATAGCAACACTTGCAGGCTAAAAGGACTTAACGTACCTATTAACTTTTATCTAGATGATTTCATGAATAAGATTAGAGTTAAATTCCTTTCAATGGTCCTTAACTTTCACATGCCTGCTAACTCCACAACAAAACTTCAAAGATCTAGTATCCTTGTTAATGTTCAAAGAATGCATGCTTATCATTATATATTTTTGTCATTAAAAAGGAATATTTTTGTGATGACCGGGTACGCAACCCGTCTTGTTTTCTTCTTTTGTGTTTGGTCTACTTGTGTTTGGAGTGCCACAGATTAATTTGAGGTCCTGTCGACCGTTGGGTTTACCGTTCTTGAAACTTTCTTCAGATCCTTGTCTTTATTTTATTCCAGTGTTGAGTTTCACTTGTTTCGGGAGGCGTGAGGTTGGATCCGGGGTGTCTCGGGTTCAACTGTGAAACTTTTGGTTGGGAGACAGGACCGCACATGTGGCAGCTTGGGCCGCACGTGCGGAAGAGGAGCCGCACGTGCGGGGGTGAGGCCGCACGTGCGATGAGCAGGGTTTGTCGAATGTGCAAGACTGCTTTAATTGCACGAGTGGAGTACAGGTGCGGAGGAGTGAGCCGCATGTGCGGGGGTGAGTGCCGCACGTGCAGAAGTGCGCTGAATTCGAAAATCTGCTCTTTTTCTTCTCCTTGGGCTGAGTGTATCTCACTTTTTACATATCTCTCTCTAAAAATATCTTTCCTCTCCCTTTTCTCTAAAAACCTCCACCCACCACCATAAACTCTTGATTTCTTCTAATCCATTGGAATTTTGACCCAACATCCTTCATTAATTTTAGAGAGCTGATCGAGAGCTTCATTTTGTGCTTTGGAGATCGATCTTCAACACCGTCAAATTTGGGGATTTCTCATCTTTTCTTCTCCAAAACTTGAGGTAGGGATTTTCTTGGAATTATATATATATTTTTGCAAGATTATGTTGATGTTGGAACTCCTCCTTGTGGTATTGAAATTCAATTTTGGCTCAAGAGTGTTTGATGATTTTAAAAGTAGGTTCACTCCTTGTTTTCTAAAAACTCTTGCGGGTTTTGAACTATATTGCTAGGGAGGGATGTTTTGGAAAAATTCTTTCAAAAATGGGGAAAATGTCTAGTTTTTGATGAAAACCTAGAAATTTGGAACTTTTGGAGAGATGTTGAGATTTCATGAGTTTCTTGCTTGTCAAAGTGTTGAAGTGAATGAATGATTGGGAATTTCATATTGTTGTATGTAAATGAGAAGTTCCATGGAATATGAGAAATGGTCGGTTTTGGAAGCTTATTGTTTAAGAATGTTGATATAGTCTTGAAATGACTAAGTTGAAGACAATGCATAAAATGTGGATATGTTGTTACTTCTCGATTGATATATGTGTATATATATATTTTATGAAATTACATTGAGAAGAGAAATGGATATTTTGATCACAATGGAAGATTGTGTGGAGGAAATGAAAATAGAAACATTTTTGTAATGCATTGATACATGTTACATTGGCATTCCATTTCATTTGATTATTATGAATTTCAAATTGAGATTTGAAAACTATTGCATTGAGAAAGAAATTGTTTATGAGATAAATCATATTGAATTGTTGTTGGGGTAAATACGTTTGGTAAGTCCGGATAGGGAGTGTAGATTGGTATTGTTTAAGTTGGTCTGAATGTCCATGGTGAAAGACTGAAAACACAAGTAGAGGAGGTACCACGTGCCTTCTGGTTAGCTACCGGTAAAGTGGGGATTTGGTAGTGCTGGTTATGCCTACTTGTAGACACTGACCTAAGGATTACCTGAGTTGTATTTACTGCCCCTTAAACTTTATTGAAAATTAATGAATGGTTGAAATTTTAAGGTTTCATTGTGTATAAAGGTTTTCAAAAGATAAAGATGCGTTTTTGAACATGACATGGTATATGCATTTCACTTCATGAGAATCGTATAAAATGTATATACTTTGGCAAGGATTTCCTACTGGGCTTTATGTTCACCTTATGAGATTTTGTGCAGGAAAAGATGTGGTGATTCCGCCAAATTAAAGGTATAGGATATGTGTTGAGAGCACAAGGCTCTTGTTTTTGTTGTACTAATTTTTTGTAAGCCAAGGGCCAGATGTGTGTGGGTTCAAGCAACCACTTTTGTGTAACCGGACTTAAGCCTTAGACTTTATAGCCCTTGAAGGCATTTATTTGCACTGAACCATTATACCACATGCTATAGATTCATGTATTAAGGTTGTTGAATGTATACCTGCATGTGCGGCCTCCTTTTGTAAATCTCTTAGTGATTATGAATGCTAATGTTGGAAAGTTAGGGATGACGTTAATATTGGGATTTACTTGTGTGAATATTTGGGGCGTGACAATTTTGGAGGAAAACAATTTCTACAAGCATCATGTGTGTATTTCTAAAAATTAAGCAAGAAGCGTGTTGCGGGTCTATTTTATTACATTGCTCAATTTCATAAACAAGAGCAATGCCACAATAGTGAAATATTAACAAATTACGAAAATGTTGCATACTTGAAACAATATTTTGAAATTCGAAATGAAATATAATAACAAATACATTAATCATTACTAAATGCAATAAATAGAGAACATACTCATCTGATCTAGCAAGATATGCATCCATGAAACTTGCATTAGCCTCAACATCGTGATTGTTCAAATAATCACCCCTATCCAAAAAAAAAAGTCTCAGTGCTCTTGAAGATGGATGCAAAGAGAAAGCGAACAAAGTAAAATAAAAAGGAGATCGAATGTTTGCATTGACGAGTAAAACTACAGAAAATTAATTCCATGCATCTTCAAGCAAAAACTATTTTAGGTTCATCAAAATTTCTGGGGTAAATTTCACTTTAACCCCTTATGGTTTGACCCATGTGCGGAGAATCCCCTTGTCATTTGGAAATAACTACATAACCCCCATGTGATTTGTGAGCCAAAACGCACAACCATTTGGCAACCCACAACAATTTTAGCCTAAAAGTCAAAAAGTCACTAAAAAGCCAAAAAACCAACAAACTATATAAAAAAGTCAAAGATATTCTTTTCTCTCTACTTTTTTGTACGTTTTTTTCTTAAAAAATCAAAAAGTCATCCCAAACATACTAGTTTTTTTTTTCTCACAATTTAGCCAAAAAATCAGAAAGTTACTAAAATAGAACAAGAGGTAACCGAACATAGAGATTGGCTTTATAGCCTCATCTTCTTCCTCTCTTCTATTCTCAATTAAACCTATATATATATATATATATTCTTTCTTCCATCCATGGCTGCCAACTATAACAAATTCCCTTCTAAATTCTGCAAGCAACCTAAGTGGCACACACACGACTCCACATCAAAAAAATCAATCACCCATTCTCACCATTAATTAAGAGTAAAATATTTTTGTACCAATTTTCATTTGTTCAAATAGACTGCTTCAACACACTGCTTCCACTTACCCAAACACACATACCTCCAGAAACATTCTCTTTATCTATTAAATATATATTTTTATGTATATAGAGAGAGAGAAAGAGAGTTTGGGATCAAAGAAGTGTTACATTTGAGCAATTAATATTAAAGCAAACATTGCATAAATACTGTCGTTGATGATGCTGCTGTGTGTGATGATGGTGCTTAATATGCTCAATTACTCTTATCAAATATATGGTGTGAGTTGGTCAATCTATGTTGTTGGTTGGACATTAAAAATTCATGAATCCCGACTTGATTTGGAGGGCGGTGGCTGTGAGACTGATCGGAAGGGTTAACTAGGTTGCTGTGGGATGTGGCAGGAGGTTCAAGGATGGCGTGCTAGGGGAGGGGCTGCAAAGGTGCGATGGATGTGGGTGGTGGTTTGAGGGGAGGAGAGAGAGGGGTAAGGGTGGTCACCAGTGGCAGTCATAGGGGAAGCTGCGGTAGTACACAACAATGGAGGTTGATTAGGGGGAATCAAAAAATGAAAAGAAGAAGAAGGGAGAGAGGAGGTACTAATGGTTGGGGAAGAAAGTTATAGAGAGAGAAACAATAAAAAATATAAAAAGCAAAAAATGGCATTTTTTTGTAAATTTGAAGATGTAGAAAAGATATTTTCATATTAAAATTTGACTCTCTCTCTACAGAGGCATGTGGCTCTCACAGCTTGTCAACTTAGACGGAAAAGTTAACGGTGCATTTTAGTCTACAAACCACATGGGATTATGTGGTCATTTCCAAATGACAAGGGGGGAAATCCGCACACGGGCTAAACCATAAGGGAGTAAAGTGAACTTTTCCCAAATTTCTAAGCAGCCTCACATGTTTTAGATTCCATTGATAAAGTACAAAAAAGAGGCCAATATTCTAGAGACAAAAAAGATACTAATAGAGTTATATTCCTTTTAACTATTCTTAACTTTCACATGCCAGCTAACTTTCACAACAAAACTTCAACAATACAGCACCCTTGTCGATGATTTAAAGAGTAACTTATCATTATATGTCGGCCATTTTGTTATTTAGAAAGAAATATTTTCGAGGGAAACAATTTCTACACAAGCATCATGGTGGATTTCCAAACATTAGGGACGAAATGTGTTCCTTGTCTATTTTGTCATACAACTCAATTTTATAAACAAGAGCAAGAATGATAACAAGTTACAAAAACATTGCATGATTATAACAATATTTTGAATATTCGAAATGGAATGTAATAGCAAATACAATGACCATTACCTATGAAGCATGGACACGGCAAAATCAGCGTCGTGGCAGTGTCGGACACGGGGACCAACCTAGGACATGGGGACACACAGGGACACGTACGGGACACACCATCTGCCATGTCCCTTTAATTTAATTGTTTTTTTTTGTAGGGGACATGCGTGTCCAGATCTGGACACGGCATGAGACACGGCGAGGAGTGAGACAAAGGAGAGAGTGCGCAGGAAGAGAGTGAAGAGACAAACCTGTCGCACGATCGAAGACATCCAGTTGATCGATCGAACATCCAATCGCCTCATTGACATCTAGTCGTCGACGATTTGTATCCCTTCGACTTCGCGACTTCCACCATAAGCATCTCTCTCTCTCTCTCTCTCTCTCTTTCTCTCTCTCTCTCGTCTCTTGTCACACTCACGTCTCTCGCCTTCTCTCTCTCTTGCTCGCGTCTCTATCTCTCTCGCCAAACTTTGTCCTTCTTGCCTTCTTTCTTATCATATATATATATATATATATTAGTATATACTGTATAAGATACTATTAATAAGACAATATTATTTTATAAGTATATATAACATGTGATATACTATTTATACATATTAATAAAAAAACATATGTATATAAAATAAAATAAAAAATTATCAGAAACACATTATTTAAAAAAATATAATAATAAATAAAATAATTAACGTATATTAAAATAAAAATATTTGTAAAAAAAAATTGCCGTGTCCATGTCCCCATTTTTTAAAAATTGCCGTGTCCAGTGTCTCTGTCCGTGTCCGTGTCCATACTTCATAGACCATTACTAAATGCAATCAAGAGAGAACATACCTATCTGATCCAGAAAGACATGCATCCATTAAACTTTTATCAGCCTCAACATCATGCTTGTTCAAATAATCACACCTAGATAGAGGGTAAGAGAGAGCCAAAAGAGTTAGATGAAAAGGAGGTCTAATGTTTGCTCTAACAAGTAAAACTACAACAATATGAATTCCATATACTACTTTTGGTTTATCAAAATTTCTATGCAGGCAAAAAAAAATACCAACACTAATGGCCAAAAGCACTTACCGTAGCTATTAACTTTCATTTGGATATTTTCCTAAATATCAAAGTTATATTCCTTTTTAACTTTCCTTAAATTTCACATGCTTGCTAACTACACAACAAAATCTTGCAACCATATAAAGTTGAAACTTCGTAGAAAGGAGCTTCTGCTACTTAACAAAGAGTGTTCTTCTAAGAAATGATATCATTAAATCACAACTTAATAAAATAGATAAACAACTGACCATCAACAAAGTGATAAAGTTCTCTAGCTGTGCACGTTAACGCAAATTGGCATGGACTAAACCAGATAACGAAGAGGGGTGTAGCACATAATTTCTTCCATTGCCCATCCTACCCATGCTACTTTGGGCATCAAGTTCAAAATTCATAGACTAGATGATGAAGACTATAACACAACAGGCAGGGCAAGAAGGTAAACAAATATTGCATAAATTGCCCAAGTCAAAGTCATATTAACATTGAGGGACAAGCGGGCAGTTACATGCCATTTGATTCCGTATGTATCAATACATAACACGAATGTACTGAACACAAAGGCAACATAAAAAATAAAAATAAAAAAGGAAAGCAAATGAAACATATAAACTAGTCGAAGGAATTGAAAAAAAATATTTGCCTAACATACATGACAAAAGCAGAATCAATCCATCTAGCAGGATTATCAAATTTCTCAAAATCATAATGTTGCAGGGTCTCAAGATATGCATAGAGGAACCAATCACCAGCATCATTACATGAGATGGAAACCTGAAAGTTAGCTACACGTGCACACCACCTACTATAGTAATCAAAACCGGCATACAATAAACACATTCCACAGCCACCATCACCATCACCATCACCCAAATGGGTAAGAAAGCCCTGGAATTCGCGTCCAGCAAATGGAGGATTGAACACAGGCCAAAGCTCATCTAGCACCCGATAAGGATAAGGCTTGGCAATCGCATCCGCATCCGAATCCGAATCCAACCGGTAAACAACGAGCTGTTGATGGTCCCATGGCATGGCAATTAAAAACCCATAATATTCAGCTGAAGCACAAGAGATAATAGGGAAAGGAGACAACTTCTCGTCAGTAAAATCCCATTTATTCATGTCAGTGTCAAAAATGTAGAAACCTGCCCGGGTGCAAAACACTATCTTACGACCCCAAACAAAGTGATGATAGATATAATCGCCACCTAATTTAAATTGGGCAGGGTCAGTCCAGGGCGGTCTAGGGAGCTCTTTCCTCTGGATCAAAAACCTCGAAAACAGGCTACTCAAGTGCTTTGTCATAGTTGTAAATTGGTCGTCTTGCCAGAACATAAAATTTATCATTAACACTGACTACAAGAGGATTGAACTTTTGACCATGCATACTAGGTAAATCCTCGCAGATGCGAATTGCATCCAAATTCAAGACAAATGATTTTAAATTAGGAACATAATCAACCTCAGAAGAACTATCATCATCATCTTCGGTGATTTTCTGCTCTTTTTGACCCCCAACCATGTGCAATTTGGAATTCACAGAGATACATCCCATTCCAATCGGTAATTCACCATTGGAATTATCACAAACTAGTTCAAACTCAGGCCGAGGTTGACTCTCGTCTCCTAATTTAGTAACACGCCATACTTGTTCATTCATCTGCACATACAAATAATACACATCCATGCCCCATCGACATCTTCTTCAAAATCGCACTCAGCGCCGAACCCTAATCTCTCTCCTCACTTTTCTTGGGAAACTGGGTTGCTTTGCAGCTAGCAGAACAACTTTGAAAAAAAAATATAGAATAATGTTATATATATATATATATATGTATTAATCTACTAATTAATATATTATGCGTTTAATTTTGGAATTTTTGGTGAAAGCCCCTTCTATAGGTTTTTTTTTGTGTGAAGTCCATTAAATAAAAGGGTGATTCTACTTACACTATCGTTTTATCTCCTTACATCTTCCATCTCATTATATCACTTAAAAAAAATTGAATTCTCATTACACCTAATATAGTATCAAAACAAACTCTATTATACAAAACTCTTCAAAACCCATCTCTTTACATCCATACTTCTGGAGGGAAAAGAGAACGATGCAGGGAAGAAGAGTAGACAACACCAGCGTGGAGGCATTCGGACGGCGTGGACGATTGAGCTCACTCTTCGCATTTGCCAAAGGTAAGTGACAAAACTCTTTTTTCTCTCTATATATTGATAGACATAGATATGTGTATCTATCTATATATCTATATCATCTATGTCATCATTTCGGTGCGAATAAACAAAGAATAGCACATTCCCAACATAGCTTTGGTGGTTTTGATCTTGGAATTTAATTGGGTTTGTGATTTTTGGTGCTAGTTTTGAATGTTGAAGTTTAGATTTTGGTTCTATGTTTTATCAGATTTTTGGTCCTCTGTTTTGCCCTCTGTCTCTTTCTTTTTTCTTTTCTTTTTTTTGAGAGTGATAGTTAAGTGGAAAGGGTTAGAGTTCTATGGGTAAAGAGCTGCCATAAAAGGTTATCAATAGTTGTGGAAAAAAATTAAAGACAACTGAGGCAACTCTACTAGAAAAAAGTGCAAAAGCAATTTTACTGAGGCAACTGTACTAGAAAAATTTCGTGCACTGTTGACATATCCTTCAACAGAGTCTCACAGAGCCACCTCCAAAATGCGTAAAACACAAAATGCAGACAAAACCATATGAGAAAGCAATGGAGATACTAATAATAACAAAATGAGGGTGCAATAACCACCAAGATTGCTATTCTCGAAGAGTCAAATCAATTGAATTATTATTTCATTTAACTTCAGTTGTGACTTAACTTTCACTAGAATTAGTGGCTTGATGTGTCCAGCAATGTTATCTGAGACAGTCCACATGAATTAAATATAAAACATGCCATATTATTCTATGGAATTTAGATATGGAATCTTCAACCCTCTCAATAATATTAGTTCATCGCTAAAGGCTAACACAGATGGATTTAGGCATATTAATTGGACCCATACTGTAATTCCCTAAACATACTGTATGGACTAACTTTATTGCTGATACAACTAACTTTGGACCAAGTGCATGGACTAACTTGATTTGGATTCCAATCCTTGAGTTGATTAACTGAAGCATTCAGTGATTCCTCAATACATAGAGGGCATCCCTTGAAACAAACCTCATGATTGTGAACCATCAAATCAATGTATCACCCAAAACCAATGAGAATTACTAAGTCATTCAAGAACATAAAATTTGCAGATCCAAAAGCAAATTACTCTTGGTTCTTCCACTTTATGTTCATATTTTATGAGAAGAATAGAAAGAAGGAACTATAGCACAAAACTAGGACCACATAAATAGAACACACTAGTTAATTCTTATACGTATTTAATTTCAATAACAAATTCCAGCAAAGTAAATGGATAGTATGTCCATTTTGAGGACAAAACTTTTCATTGTAGGTCTCAGCTTGCAACAGCACCTTGGAAAAGAACAAAAGAGATGTGTGAGCACATTCCGCAAAATAGGAAACTAAATCCTAATAGAAAAAGAAACTAAAATCCTAAAAATAAGAAACCAGATATTGCTAGGGTCCTAATTAAACTATAATAAAAATAAATAAACATAAATATTAAAAAATAAATAAAATCTTCATGCCAAATTTAGAACGTGCATGTTCTGCATCATAGTGCAATCAAATTCCTTCATGGAGAGAGAGAGAGAGAGAGAGCAAGGAAGCAAATTATCATGTTATGGTACGAGAAATTACAATATCTTATTAACGATGATGCCTAGAGGCCAACAGCTATGAGCCCCATCTATGTTTCTCTTTCTTTGAAAAATGGAGATACCATTAAACTAAGTTCAAGATTACCATTTTTGTTTAATATTTCTCTTAATTTATGTTCAAAATTATAATCAGAATCTCTCATAGATATCTCCTTGTTTCATAGATTTGGGTTACCCGAAACTTTTTAGTAAGTAACTTTTTAGCAGTAGCTTGGGTTATTTTTTGGGGTTCTTCTTCACATAACATAAAAAAAGAGAATTAGAGATGACTGGTAGTAATAGTCAGCAAGGTTAATTAGACTTACTGATCCTATAATCACAAATGATTTATGGCCTCCTTTGGCACTAATTTTCATCTTCACTTTTTCAACAGCCATAGTATTTCAGCAAAAAACATGTCCAACAGTAAGAACAGACAAAATATGGTATTTTCCTTATAAAGAAATGCAGTTTCATGTTTTTACTATCAATCCATTTTGCAAGTAGGTCAATGTCATCAAACTGGAATATCATTTGGCTCCTTCAAAATCACCAGAATATTCACCAACACCTATTTGTTCACGTCAATTTTCTTATGAGCTGTAACATCCAAAGGCAAGGTATCCCAAAAAGATTAGATTGTGATCTTTAAGATACAATACAATGTTAACATTTAAAAATTAAAAATAAACAAGACAAACTAGAAACTTGAAATAGAACAATTTTCTTATAGATCGAGTGGGATTCATACCGTTTATGTAGGACACACCATCTACTTCATGAGGTTGCATATTATACTGGATGTTTGAAATGTTTTGATATTGTTGAACCCTATCACCCCAATAGGGTTTTGCGACAGTTTGGTGGGGTCCAAACTATCCCCCCAGAACCATTATCTCATGTTCGAGCTACACGGGGCAGTAAACCAGGACAGTACAGAATCATGTATATATACCATGACACGATATGGGCGTAATGGGAGAATCACGTGTTGTCCATTAATGCTCGTAGTGTGCCTGTACAGCAGCGGCCATCTGAATGTGTATGGGGATACCGTGAGTGGTATGCTCGTGTTTCGCATCGGGTTGTTCAAAATCCTACACATCACTCTCAGTTTGATCCACGTGTTCAACGTCCCGAGAATGATGTTACTATGGATCCTGAGTGGGTAAGCAAATTGTGAATTACCTTTTTTCACTTTTAAGTGGTTCACCATAAATCAAATACTAAGTACGATTTTTATCAATTTTTTTGCAGTGTAATGATGATGCTTTCAATGTTGGTGCTGTAGTCCATAGGCTCGGTCGTGATGAGTGTGTCTTGCACCCTGACATGCTGTATGAAACCATTGGTCGCATGCTGCAAGTTCTTGATGGATAGAGTTTGGGATCTACTTCGACACGTACAGAGCATCAAGTCTACTATCGTAAACGTCGTAAGATGGACCGTACATGAGGATTGAGATCTACTTTTTGTTTGATGACATAATTTTGCATAATGTCTAGCCTATATATGTTTTGGGATATGGTTTTGTGTTAACCGTACATGATATTTGGGATGTAGTTTTTTTTTTTGATGGCATAGTTTTTGTTAAAGTGTAGCCCGTACAGAATTTGGGATCTAGTTTTTTTTTTGATGACATAGTTTTTGTGAATGCCTAGGCCGTACAGAATTTGGGATATACTTTTCCCTAATGGCATAGTTTTTGTGGATGCCTTAGATCTTTTGTAAACTGGATGCTTGGTTGGACAAGTAATGAATTGTCATACTTTTGTAAGAAATTTAAACAGTTTCACATCTATTTTGTATTCAATATTTATGTCAATGGAAATTTATTTTGGCGAACATATGGATTTGTTATTGTTTGTAATGCATTGTAATGGTATTGAAGTGTTTTGGAGGGATATGGTACCATTTGCTAGAAATAACATTGTTTTTTTTAGTGCTATGGGCCAGTTCCGCTTCATACTGTTACACAATTTGAATTATTCCGGTGTTCGGTTGTCGGAAATAATTGATCCCTCCAGCATTTAGTTGCTATATATTTCCAGAGCCACTTTATCCTAAACAACATTTTTTTATTTGTGCTTGGCCCGTTCGGTAATACAATGCTAAACAATTTGAGCTACTATAGTTCTATGTTACCGGATAAAATTTTGTTTCCCAGCATTATGTTACCGTTCAATTGGATAATTTTTGTTTGCTTCCCAACAAAGCCAGTAGAATCCACATTGAAGCGTCTGTTCGGTCACACAATGCGAAACAATTTACAAAAATTTAGTTCTATAATGCCGGAATAAATGGTTTTTTCCAGGCTTTTGTGGCTATACAATTACAGAGCCACTTCCTCCCAAATGATGTGGTAATAATTTGTGCTGGGGCTGTTCGGTAATGAAATGCTAGTGAATTTTAATTAATCTAGTGTTGTGTTACCAGACAAACTAGTTTTTCCTAGCATTATGTTGTCATACAACATGAGAATTTCAATTTGCTTCATAACAAAGTCAGTGGAGCCCACTGTGATGCTAGACTTATATTTTTTTTTCAGCACTGTGATGTCGGACTATGTTATTTTATTCAATTTCGAAGCACCGAACAAAAGTTGCACACCAACCCAGAAAATCGAAACAAAAACCAACCAAACTAAAAAAAAAACTCACCATTTCACTTTTTTGATAGTTTTTCACCACCGTTTCTTCATCCATTGCTTTTTTTGATGATCAAAACACTATGATTATCAGTTTTCCAAAAGAGATGTGTAAGAGAAAAGAAACGTTGAGAAAGGAAAAAGACAAGTAGGAATTGAAAGGTCAGGGGGTGTAAGAAGATAATCAAATACATTTAATTTTAATGTTTTGTCCTTTTAAGTAATTTCACATATGGATAAAATTGGAAGAAAAAAACAATCTTATATGGAAGGTGTAAGGAGGTAAAATGGTGGTGTAAGTAGAATTACCCTAAATAAAATAATAGTTTCAATAGTCTCTTAAATAAAAAATATGATGAAAAGGCTGAAATG